CGTGCACAGCCGACGATTGCGAAAGGTGAACCCCTCTTCAAACTCATCGGCCAGATCCACCTGCAATCCCCACGAGCTCATTCTCCTCCGTGCCTCAGCAGCAGTGGGTATTGAATCGCGGGAAGCAGATGGCTGCCCCTCTTTCCTCCTTTCCTTTCCTTTTTCTTTGGAAAACGCTCGCAGTGCACGCCGATTGCCGCCTCTGGGGACATCGCGTGCGTGCTCTTTGCCCAAACAAATAACGCATAGATCGTGTGTGTCATCAGATGTTAAACAACGACAACACGGATGCACACATCCTCTAAACGCTTTGCTAGTGCTCGCCATAATGATATGAATAGATCGCTCTTACCACAGAAATGCACGCTTCAAACAAAACAGTCAATGAAGACGAAGAAGAGGATGATGTGTTCTCCCGGCGCCTATTTATACTATAGTTGCACCGGTAGTGACGTCATGGCTGTCGCCGGCCAACGTGTTGTTGGTGTTTTTTCAATGTATGCTTCAGACATGAGTCACGACGAGGCGTTCCCCATAGCGACCCCTAGAGGACGCAGTTCGAAGTTCCCATGAAAGGGAACCGGAAGCTAACAATAAATTAAATGTTCTACCTATTAGATTGTGTTTTATTAACGTCTACACCTACCCAAACCCTAAACCTACACTCTAAAAAATGCTGGGTTAAATACAACCCAGTGCTGGGTAAAATAGGGACAAACCCAGCAAACTTTGATGCACACTTCTGCCGAGCCAGACTTCTATCCAACAGACAAAGCAGTATTCCGTAACGAAAGTGTGGACTCCACAAGGGTTTAGGGTGCAATTTGGGACAGGGCCATTAACTGTTGCACAAATTCAGTGACGTCAAGGCTGTGATTTGATTGGTTATGATGGTACACATGATCAAAGTTGGCTGTTACACTTTCTCCAATGGTAGAGGCGTGGACCCTGGTATCTCCCAATAACAAGATAATTTCTGATGTAACTGCTATATAAGTTCAGGAGCAGAATGCAGTTGTTTGTGGAATCTGCAGCTGGAGCAGTTGGAAGTTTAATGTCTGACTTACTGCAGAAAGGTGGCATTTTTGTGTAAGAGGTCTGTTGCATCTTATGCAAACTTCTACAATATTAATCTTTAATTCAAATAGATGTAAAAAAGATCACATTAGTATAACTTTTTCAAATCAATTTTATTTCTCTGTTTCTTGTCTTTCAGGTTATGGCGGGGTCCAATGGCACAATTGGGGATGTGTCTTTCACTTATCAGCAAATCTTTAATCTAGAAATGGATGTTGGGCTCAGTACTAAAACTATAGTGGCTGTGTTAATGTCCCTGTTCTTCTGTTTTGTAAACTGTGTGATGCTCTTTGCTCTAAAAAGCAAGCGCATATTCCAAGAGACGCCGCGCTACATTCTTTTTAGCCACATGCTTATGAATGACTCTGTGCTTTTGCTGGTCACTACCATAATGTATGCAGTGGCTCTGTGTTTCCTACCAATACCTAAGTCCATCTGCACTCTGTTAGTCTTTATCTCCTACTGCACTTTCCGTAACGCTCCTCTGACACTAGCACTGATGTCTCTGGAGCGGTACGTGGCGATCTGCTTCCCTCTGAGGCACTGCAACATCGCCACACCAAAAAGGACTGGAATCGCCATAGGAATCGTCTGGTTCCTTAGTTCTATAAATATTATGACAGACATTATTTTTGTTTTAACTGTCAACCCTGATTATTTAGCCGGCATTATATTTTGCACATTAGAAAAATTGTTTTTATTCAAATGGCAGCTGGATAAATATCAAGCGTTTGATGTTCTTTATTTTGTGTCTGTTGCAGTGATCATAATTTTCACATACATTAGCATTATGATCACAGCCAGGTCTGTTTCCTCTGATAAAGATTCTGCTAAGAAAGCTCTCAAAACGGTGCTCTTGCACTTGATTCAGCTGGGACTGTGTCTCACCTCTTTCCTGTATACTTCAATAGAAAGAACACTATACATGATGACTGGAAGCAACTCTTCTCTCTTCATAAATCTGAGATATCTAAATTTTCTTATTATTCTTATTCTACCACGTTGCCTGAGTCCCCTAATCTATGGTATGAGAGATGAAGCCTTGTGGCCCTTGTTCAAATATTTTTTCTGCTATCGTTCAGGAAAAGTAAAGCCTTCTATTAATGTACATTAAATGTATGGAAATTTGCCATGCAAATGGTAATATAAAAAAGATATTGTGGCTTGTAAGATGCAATCATATTCATAGCAATATTAAATATGTTTGCCAAACTCTCAGATCAACTTATTTTCTGCCAAAAATATTTTTAAGACTGTCAGTGAGTAATCTCAGTGAGTAATATATATGTGCACAATTTAATGTAATATTTATTTATATATTTTATTTTATTTTTATGCCTATAATTTTTTCATGCTTTCATTTTATTTATTTTTTATGTTTTTTTAATTCTAATATGGAAGCTGTTATTGATAAGTTTCTACATGCCTGGCTGCTGAAATTACATGTCTCTCGCACACACACAAAAAAAGTTGAAGACTAATAGTCAGACTAACAGCAAAATAAAAATTATTTTGAGAAAATAATAATAATGTGTCTTAACCAAGCATAAAAGCACCATAGAAAATAGACAGTTAACATCTCATAAGAATTCTATTTAAGATTGTATGTAATCTTTATAAGATATGCAGACAGCCAGTATACTTAATTTGTACATTTTGGACTTTGGCTTTTATCATCAACATTTATTTATAGTTCATCATATACATATATAAATAATCCACCCTTATCTGACCTCATATAATAAAAGTAGTGTATTCAAAGATACATAGTTATCATAAAAATAGTTCAGCATTCATTTGTTGAATACTTAATTTTTGTCTATAGAGTTAAGCTTACTTGCAGTATATTCTCTGAACAAACTTAATGTGCAGGTGTTGCTCTTTTTTCATGTATATCCTTCTATTCATACATACATGATATCTATTATTGTATTACATGTAAATGTAAGAGACAGAACTGCTCCTCTCAGACCTATGACAACATTATAGCAGCATAGAGAGGGACTTACACTGCTGTTGTATATGTTGTGAATATTCTGCAGTGACAGACCCTGGATTCTTTCATGTAGGCCCATTCATTTAAATCTGAATGCAGCAGAAATTGTCATGTACTCCTGGCAAATTTATGTACAAATACTTGAATAAATAAAAATGGGTTATGATGATATTGTCACGTTACACACGAGGAAACGCTGGAGAATACTTTACCAAGACTTGATTTGCACCAAGGGACACACGCACGCACGCGCACACGCACGCACGCACGCACGCGCCCACCAACGGAAATACCTGGGACAAATTAACTAAACTAATCAGGACAGGAACAGGAAACTAACCAAATAAGGGCATGGGAAGGCACATGGGGAGCAGGACACACAAAACATGGAACAGAGTCTGACAGATATAATGTATTGGCAGTATATTTTTAAATATATTAAGAGTAAGATAGGGGACAATCCAGTCCTTGATTAGGCAGGTGATGAGTGTCAAGTGTGGATGGTTAGTTCTCAAGAGCATTGGTTTTCAAACCTGTCCTAGAGGATCCCAAGCACTGCCCATTTTGTAAGTCTCCCTTATCAGACACACCAAATTCAGGTCTTGCTCTCTCTAGTAACAAGCTGATGAGTGGAATTTGTTATGTTAGATGATTGAGACTTACAAAATGTGCAGTGCTGGGGATCTTCCAGGACAGGCTCGAAACCCCTGCTCTAGAGAATAGAGCACCACTGAGGGTTGAAAACTGGGGCTTGACCAGACGGTGTGAAGGACCAGGATGAAACTCGAGGACTGAAAGGCCAAGGTGGAGTAGATTAATCAGGTGACCCCAATGTTGAAGCCAGCCCAGCAGGAGACCACGAGGAGCTAGCAGACCAGGGAAGCTCTCATTCCCATCCTGGTCAAGGCACCAACCTAACCCCTTCGGTTGTACTTGATCTGCTCCGAGGTGATTTGTTGTGTACAGGCAGAGCAGTCAGTAAAAGTACTTTCTCTACTTTTTTCCCTTAATTAAGGTATCCCACGCTAATGTGTACTCCTTAAAAATGTGACGTGAAGTAGATGTAGTAGGGAACCATGAAGGGGCTGGTGGAGCGGGTGAGACCTGCTCCAAGCTGGATTTGAACCAACGTTTCCAGCATGGGAGGCAGGCGCACTAACAAGGGCACTAAAGACTGCAGCCTCTAGTGTCAGTCGCTAATGCGCCTCTTGAGATCAGGGGAGTGAGGTTTACCCCCACAGCTCTTACAAGTTGGCCTCCTTTACACTCACCCCCTAAACCTCACTCCCATCCGGGTCATGGCACCAATGTAACTCCTCGACCTGCTCCCCCATGCCCATGATAGGGAGAACCACCAGAATTGGAACCACCAGACCCACTGGACTTGGGAGCTTTGGGACCACCAAACTTGAAAGCAATGGGCTCAGAAGTCCCAGGCTCAGGACCACAGGCCTTGGGACCACTGGACCACCAAACTTGGAAGCTTTGGGAGCACCAGGCTCGGGACCATTGGACTCAGGAACACCGGACTTAGAAACTCTTAACCAAACGACATTATTAAACTCATTCAAGGTAATGCTGTCTGTTCTTGGAGATAAGAATGTGTACAGTGAATCATCCAGTCCATTTCAAAAACATGCCTTAAGCATGTGTCTACTTCAGGGAACCTCATGGTAAAGTTCTAAAAATTCTGCGTATCTCTATGGGGCTGAAATCTTGGCTATTTTGTGATGTCTGGTCTGGATTTAACAGATACAGGGGATGAACTCAATTGTGGGGTTTTATTAAACAGATATATGAAGACAATGGAACACAACAGGCGAGTAAACTTTAGTAAGAGATCCCCCAAAGGCTCCCACCCACTGAGTGACACGTACAGTATACCCACATGGTTCTGTCTGCCACCATATAACAGCTATCAGCTATATATGCTTTGGAGCAGAATGCAGCTGGAGCAGATGGAAGGTTAATGTTGCACCTTTTGCAAATTGCTTTGGACATGATCTTTAGTATAACTTGCTCTGATAACCCTTGTTTCTCTGTTTCTTGTCTTTTAGCTTATGGCGGGGTCTAATGGCACAACTGAGGACGTGTCTTTCACTTATCAGCAAATCTTTAAGCTAGACATTGATGCTGGGCTCAGTACTAAAACTGCAGTGGCTGTGTTAACATCTCTTTTCTTCTGTTTTGTAAACTGTGTGATGCTCTTTGCTCTAAAAAGCAAGCACATATTCCAGGAGACGCCGCGCTACATTCTTTTTGGCCACATGCTTATGAATGACTCTGTGCTTTTGCTGGTCACAACTATTATGTACACAGTAGCTCTCTGTTTTCTTCCAATACCTAAGTCCATCTGCACTCTGTTAGTCTTTATTTCTCACTGTACTTTCCGTAACGCTCCTCTAACACTAGCACTGATGTCTCTGGAGCGGTACGTGGCGATCTGCTTCCCTCTGAGGCACTGCAATATTGCCACACCAAAAAGGACTGGAATCGCCATAGGAATCATCTGGTTCCTTAGTTCTATCAACTTTGTAACAGACATTATTTTTGTTTTAGTTGTTGACCCCAATTATTTAGCCAGTGTTATATTTTGCACATTAGAAAAATTGTTTTTTTTCAAATGGCAGCTGGATAAATATCAAGCTTTTGATGTTCTTTATTTTGTGTCTGTTGCAGTGATCATTATTTTCACATATATTAGCATTATGATCACAGCCAGGTCTGTTTCCTCTGATAAAGATTCTGCTAAGAAAGCCCTCAAAACGGTGCTCTTGCACTTGATTCAGCTGGGACTGTGTCTCACCTCTTTCCTGTATACTATAATAGAAAGAACACTATACATGATGACTGGAAGCAACTCTTTTCTCTTCATAAATCTGAGATATTTAAATTATCTTATTGTTCTTATTCTGCCGCGCTGTCTGAGTCCTCTGATCTATGGTATGAGAGATGAAGCCGTGTGGCCTTTATTTAAATATTTCTTCTGCTATCGTTCAGGCAAAATAAAGCCCACTGTTAATGTACATTAAATGTCTAGTAAGAGGATGTGAATAGAAACAATATTTCAATTTCTTCTAATGAGAATCTTTATACTTGTACTTGTACTTTGGACTGTTAAAGGAAGACTCTTTTAGGAGGCTCTTTCAGCATATAAATATGTATAGTTTATCATATACACTGTAAATATAAATAATCCACCCTCATTTTATTTTTAAACACATATGATGCCTATAAATAAACTATTTCACTAACTTACAATCCAGTTTTATTGTTTTTTTATGAGGTTGAGACACTTTTGCTTGTCAGTGGGTGAAACTGCTTGTGTGCTGAACAAACGTCTTCCAAATCCTTTAGAGTCAAGATTGAGTACTTTTTTATTTTCCAACATTTTTTTTTTACTAATTTAGTTAATCTATAACTGTACTATTTTCTATGTTCCTCTTTAACAGTCTGCACTCATCTTTGTGAGCAACCATTTTAACAGCTCTAAAAATCTATAGTCATAGTGATTCTAGCAGATTATATGTGTTTAAGTTAGAAATGCTTAAGCAGCCACACTTACTGTACATTTCTCTTATTTTTATCATGTCTGGATGGGACCTTGCTTTACAGCAGCAACGCGTGTATGTGCAAATTGCTAATTTTTAGGCAAATTCAAATAAAGCAAAACCTTGTATTTTCTGTTCATGTGGTTTAAAAAGGTTGATATGACAAAAACAGGCTTATTTAAATTCACCTCATCAAGATAGCAAAGGTCACCAGCAGGGGGCGCAACGACGAGGCAAAATAAAGTAGTTTAAGTATAATCTACAATGTTTGTTTGCTTTTTTTTTTTTTTTTTTTTGCGAATATGATAGTGTTAAATATTTTATTTGTTAATTTTATCTTTGAAAATTAATGATCTTGAATCAATGAAACTTGTGGCAGCCAAGCATAATCAACATCCTTTGTGACTTGTTTATGGAATCTGCAGCTGGAGCAGATGGAGGTCTGATGTCTGCCTTATTCGCTGTAGAAAAGCAATACGATTGTGTCTGAACGTTTTAAAATCTCACCCCAATACATTGCCACACCAAAAAATACAAATAAAAAGCAGGTTTTGGATTTTGCACTAGAAACAAAAATGTTTAAGCTGTTTGGCAGCTGGATAAAACTCAAGGGTTTGATGTTCTTGTTTGTGTCTGTTGCAGTGATCATAATTTTCCACATACATTAGCATTATGATCACAGGTCTGTTTCCTCTGATAAAGATTCTGCTAAGAAAGCCCTCAAAATGGTACTCTTGCATTTGATTCAGCTGGTACTGTGTCTCATCTCTTTCCTGTATACTATAATAAACAAAGCCTTATATATGGTAATTGAGAGCTCTTCTCTTTTCAGAAATATCAGGTATTTGAATTTTCTTATTGTTATCATTCTACCTGGTCGCCTTATCTATGGAATGAGAGATAAACCAGTGTGGCCTTTGTTCAAGTTTATTGTTTTCTGTTGTTCAGGCAAAGTAAGGCCCTCTGTTAATGTGCAATAACTGTATGGTATGGGATGAGATGAAATAATAAGTTAACATGCAATATTAGTGACAGAAAAAAAACCAGTTTGTGTGTGTGACTTACAAGTGCTACTGCCACATTGTTCTCCTTCAGAACAACAACAGAACAATATATATTTTTAATTAAATTGCATGGTGTGAATTTTATTATTATTATTTTTTTTTTTGTCATTGGCAGGCATTTTTCTTACTGCTGGAATTACACATCAGCTGTTATCTTTTAAACTCCTAAAAAATAAATAAACAAATAAAACAAAAATAATATAAAATGAAAAATAATAAATAATTTATATGAAAGGCCTGTGTTTAGCACATTTTGGACTGTAAAAGAAGACTCTTTTGTTGTTAGTTTGTTTTTAAGCTACAAACAACATTGATATGTGTAGTTGAGTATTTACTAATTTAAATAAAACTCATGAGTTGTAGGTGTCGCTGTAATAAAGTACTATATTTAACTATTAACAGTTTCAATAATCACCAAAAAAAACTGCATAATTTCTTCATTATTATTATTATTATTTTTGTCTATAAAGGCCTTAGTTCACAGTCGAAAATGCATTTTCTGTACAGACTGTACAGACTTTTTAAATGTATTTTTGTTTATATCTGGAATTAGATTAATTCTGGCCTCAAAATTAATGTGAAAGGGGTCAGTGAAAGATTATTTAAACTCAGAAAAGGCTTCATTTAAAAAAATGTAATTCTAATTTTTTCTGTTTATTTTTTGCCATTATCCATTCAGAAAGCTAAAGCCCTCGTCTCATCAACACTTGCAAATGTCACCAGCAGAGGGCGCAAATAATCCGAGAGAAAATACATGCACTTTAACGGACTGAACTGTTTTTGAATCACTTGCAAAAACTGCATTGCGAATTTGGGATCGTTCTTTTCGCTTAACAGCTGTCCATTTGTTGATTTAATTTCCCGCCATCAATGATCATCTCGGTAGGTTAAAACTTCTGTGGAAGCTATGAGCCTCAACAACATAATCTGTGAAACATGGTAACCAAATAAGGCCAACATACACTTAGTAATCAATTAAAGCTATTACTGTGAAGTTATAAATAAATATTGTTATATTATTTTAATTGTGTGTGTGTGTGTGTGTGTGTGTGTGTGTGTGTGTGTGTGGTGAATTATATCAGTGGTTCCCAACCCTGGTCCTAGAGGCACCCCAACACTGCATGTTTTGCATGTCTCCTTAATCAAACACACCTGATTCAGATAAAGGCACCCCAACACTGCACATTTTGCATGTCTCCTTAATCAAACACACCTGATTCAGGTAATCAGCTCATTAGCAGAGACTGAAACTGGTGTGTCAGAGAAAGGAGACATGCAAAATGTGCAGTGTTGGGCTGCCTCCAGGACCAGGGTTGGGAACCACTGAATTATACCATTATGGTATGATGTTTTGCATTAAATCAGAAATAGGAAGAAACAATTTCACTATTGGTCTCAGGTCTTTAGGGCCCTACTTCTTAGAATGACCCCCACATGCTACTTTCCACACTTCTATCTGGCTTTGCTCCCTCCCATACCTCTTATGCACCCAGTGACACATACGGTATACCCATGTGGTTCTGTCTGCCGTAGTGTAACAGCTATATAAGTATAGGAGCAGAACTGTTTGTGGAATCTGCCATTGGATCAGATGAATGGCTGATGTCTGCCTTATTGACTGAAGAATAACACGTTTGTGTCTGAGGTATGCTGCAAACTTACAAATCTCACTTCAGTGCACAACAAGACAAAAGATGCCACTCAGATTTACACTAATCAGCCTTGTTTCTCTGTTTCGTGTCTTTCAGCTCATGGCAGGCTCTAATGGCACAGCTGAGGATGTGCCATTTATTTATCAGCAAATCTTTAAGGTACAATTGGATGCTGGGCCCAGTACTAAAATTTCAGTGCTTATGTTAATATCTCTTTTTTTTCTTTTTTGTAAACTGTGTGATGTTCTTTGCCCTGAGAAGCAAGCGTGTATTCCATGAGACGCCGCGCTACATTCTTTTTGGCCACATGCTTATGAACGACTCTGTGCTTTTGCTCCTCACAACTGTTATGTACACTATGGGCACGTATTACCTTCAAGTAACCAGAGCCATCTGCACTCTGTTAGTCGTTATCTCCTACTGCACTTTCCGTAACGCTCCTCTAACACTAGCACTGATGTCTCTGGAGCGGTACGTGGCGATCTGCTTCCCTCTGAGGCACTGCAACATCGCCACACCAAAAAGGACTGGAATCGCCATAGGAATCATCTGGTTCCTTAGTTCTATCAATATTATAACGGACATTATTTTTGTGTTAATTATCAATCCAAGTTTATTTGTAGAGGTTTTATTTTGCACACAAGAAAAATTGTTTTTATTCAAATGGCAGCTGGATAAAACTCAAGGGTTTGATGTTCTTTATTTTGTGTCTGTTGCAGTGATCATAGTTTTCACATACATTAGCATTATGATCACAGCCAGGTCTGTTTCCTCTGATAAAGATTCTGCTAAGAAAGCTCTCAAAACGGTGCTCTTGCACTTGATTCAGCTGGGACTGTGTCTCACCTCTTTCCTGTATGCAACAATAAACAAAACACTATACACCGTGTCTGACAGCTCTTCTCTCTTCATAAATCTCAGATATCTGAATTTTCTTATTCTTCTTATGCTGCCGCGCTGCCTGAGTCCTCTGATTTATGGTATGAGAGATGAAGCCTTGTGGCCCTTATTCAAATATTATTTCTGCTATCGTTCAGGCAAAATAAGGCCCTATATTAATGTACATTAACTGTATGATATGAGATGATATGAAATAATAATTTGCACAATGGCAATTGTAAAGTTGCAACAAACTGTTTCATCATTATGAATGCCATATTTAAACATGTTTATCTGAAAATATAACAGCAGCACCATATACTTTTATATTAAATTGCACCATTCTGTTGTTTAAAATGAAAATAAATGTATTTTTCATGCTTTCATTTGATTTTTCTTTCTGTTATAACATGTAAGATCACAGGTTTTGACATGTCTTGCTGCTAAAATAACACGTTCTCTGTTAATGGTTAACAGGCTCTTATAAGAATCAATAAAATATATGCATACACTTTTGACTGTAAAAAGAACACACTTTAAAGCTATTGTATCTATCAACAGCATGAATTATGTATATACAAATGTAAATAAAACACCCTTATCTGAGATTTAAAGTTGTGCAATACTGTATTGAATTAACAGTATCAAATTTGTTTAAAAATAGCAATATATCTTGTTCAAATTATTGTGCTTCTTGATGTATTTTATTGTTTATATATTGATTCTATCGCTAGATTTACATATGAGTTAAAAACAGAACTGCCTCTCTTACACCACTGACCAAAAGGCTATTTTTATGTTAAGCTTCTTTGTTGGTATAAAATTGCATGATGTAACCTGTAAATCAGAAGTAAAGAGCGAAGAATATGAGTTTATGCCATGCACAGAATAAATAAGATTTGGATTTAGAAGTTCTCATTCTTATTCCAATTCATTTTGGTATATTTCAGTTATAATATCTGATTTGCTTCCACTGAATGAAATGTTCTCTCTGCTAATAATGTAAATTATAAATGAGCACAGACTGTGGAAACCTCTCTTTATTATTTCCCTTGAAATCAGCAAAAAAACAACACTTTTAACATGATGCAATCATCCTAATTACAACAACAAACAAGCAAGGCATCAGAGGAAATGCAAACGAAATCAGTGCGGGGGAAAATAAAAATTGAAATATACATAACGATTTGAAATTATAAGTATTATTGTATTATTATTTCCTGCCAAAATAGCCAAGAGAATTGTAATGATTACAGCAAACATACATAAAGTCATACAAAACTGAATATAATTTAAGAATGAAGTGCTAAGAATGAGTTGTCATCATGGTTTTGGTTGAATTGTAATCTGCAATGGAGAGCAGAGAGGGACGACACATCGCTGGATGAAGACTACGAGTGAAGGCTACACGTCGTCTGTTGAAGTAAACGACACACACAGAAGACAAAGGGTGAGATCAGAAAACAAAAAAAATATAAATTTTCTTTTATACGATCCAATCAACACTTGACGTCTTACCAGGGGAAACCCTCCTTGAATTCAGTGAACTTGTGACGGACCACGAAGGTGGCTAGAGCATCAGCTACCTGCATCAGATATATATATACATAGTTCAGAAGCAGCAAATACAGCTGAAGCGAAAATGTTTTCCATGATTGTAATGTGAAACAGACATACTTTTTCCGGGGCATCTTCATGAACAGCATGGCCACATTGTGGCAGAACCTGCATCTGGAACTTTCCTATAATAATAACAACCACAAAAGACATGAAGGACCTTCTGGCCACAGCAACGTGATTGGCTGTACCATAAAGAGCAAGAATATAAATGCTTTACCTTGCATTTGCCCAATGGTAAGATCTTTATCAAGCCTGTCAACACCTATGGGAGACACATTACTCATTAAGAGTTGTTTTTTACACCGACTAAGTCTAAAAGACAAATGTCTAAGCGTTCTGACCAGCCAGCAGGAGGAGTTTTGGCACAGAGCAGGTGAGAAAGAGAGAAGACAGTCCTTTAAACCAGCCCTCCCAGTACTTCTCTGTCTTTGAGAGTTCAATACGCCAGGTGTACAGACATTCTTTCTTTATCTGCCAAATGGGAAAATCATCAAACATTTGCACATAAAATAATGCTTAATGTTCATTGTGAAACATACTTAGATGTACAATAAAGTACGGGATAATGTTCAAATATTTGGGGGTTGGCAAGATTTTTTAAATGTAAAAAAAAAAAAAAAGTATCTTATGCTCAACAAGGCTGCATTTATTCATCAGAAATACAGTGAAAACAGTAATATTGTGAAATATTACATTTTCCATTTTAAAATGTCATTTATTCCTGTAATGGCAAAGCTGAATTTCAGCAGCCATTATTAAAGTGCCCCTATTATGGATTTTTGAAAATGACCTTTCATGCAGTGTGTAACACAGCTCTAAGTGAATGAAAACATCCTGCAAAGTTTTAAATCTGAAAGTGCACCATGTATAAACTTAACTCTCTCAAAAGAAAGAGTTGACTCTGAATCATTGAAACGAGTCGTTTTTAAAACAAATTCCAAGCCGTTTCATGTTGATGTCAACATGAAACATTAGCATATTGCCAGCCCACTTGTTGGTCTTTTAGCATTGGTCTGAATGCAAATGCAAATTAATTCTTTGCCACTAGGTGCCACTTTTGAAGCAGTAAAAATAGCGGTTTCCCCGGTAACGGCTGTACACAAAGCAGCACTGTGCTCACAAACTGCTGCTTTATCAGGCATTACAGGCATGATGCAATGAAAATGAGACCAATCGGACCAATAACCGCAGTTTAGCATCACGCAAAGGAGGGGTTTGAAGAAATTAATCGTTGAGCAAGTAAGGTAAAAATAGATGCATAGTGTGTTTTGACCTTGCATGCATGTCAACCTATTGTTGGGGACTCCCAAAACCAAAACATGAACCTTTCATTACCCATAATAGGGGCACTTTAAAGTCTTTAGTGTCCCAATGAACAATGCATCCCTGCTGAAAATATTATCAGATAAAAGATTACATTTATTTTATTAATTAATTTCATTCATTCATTTATTCACTAAAAAAATCTTACTTATCCCAAACTTTTTAATGGTAAAGTACAGTCAGTCAGTTATTGTCACAAAATCTGATCAGAATTTAAACATATAATACCTCTTGGTCATCCTCTTTCTTCCTTTTATGGTTGGATTCACCTCCTTCTTCATCCTCCTCTTCTTCTTCAATAATGCCTTCACTGATGCTCCTGGAAACCCCTGGACTACTCAATGGCTCCTCACATCTAAACATCCGAAGACAACTAATCAGTGCAATATATACAATACCTAAACATTTCTACAAATTTACAACAATTCCTTGAGCTAGTTAAGGGAACCAATAGGGAAGACTTACTTTTTCACCTGTCCAACCATTGACACTCGTGCAGACTCAACATTCCTGATCTGACCACTTTTCACGCTGGTAAGGGGGAAAAAAATATCAGTCTTTATTAGAGCTGGGAAAAAATAGGGAAGCCAGTTACCGCCACTGAATGAATAAAAAAAACAAAAAAGTAATTGCGGGTTTTTATCTCACAATTCTGACTTTTCTCGCAATTGTGAATTTACATATATTTTCTCTGAATTATAAGATATAAACTAAATATAAGATATAAACTCACAATACTTTTTTTCTCAGAATTGCATGATACAAACTAGGGATGGACAATAATTCAATATCAATATGTATCGCGATATAATTTTTTTCAATAACGGTGATATGATTTTTAAACACATTTCCATTTATTGCTGTGATCAAAGCTGAATTTTCAGCATCATTACTCCAGTCTTCAGTGTCACATGATCCAGAAATAATTCTAATATGCCGATTTGCTGATTATCAATATTTAAAACAGTTGAGAATTTTTTTTTCAGTATTCTTTGATGAATAGAAAGATCCAAATATCAGCATTTATCTGAAATAAAAAGCTTTTGTAGCCTACACTATTCCATTCAAAAGCTTGGAGAAATATATTGTGATATAAATTTTGGCCATATCGTCCAGCCCTAATACAAACTCGCAAGATGTAAACTCACAATTGCGAGAAAAAATGTCAGAATTGTGAGATAAAAAGTCCCAATTAGCTTTTTTACATTTTTATTCAGTGCCGGAAATAGGCTTCCATAAAAAAAAAGTTGTATTAATTTCTTTAATTAATATTTCCACTATATAAAAAGCACAGCTAAAAGTGACATTATTTTATGGTAATTTAAATTAAAATGTATTAAAATATTTTTTATGTTGATTAATTCTAAACAAAAACAATAATTTGGCATTCGGGCCTGGAGCTATAATTACTCATTTTATGCATGTTGTTTCAACATCAATTTGTACACATACAGTGGGTACGGAAAGTATTCAGACCCCCTTAACGCTAGATGTTTAAATCAATTTGTGCAATTAATTAAATGACAGTCCTAGATTTGAGATATTACAGGACTAATTTAATTTTTAAACAACTGTCACTGGATATTTTCAACAGCATACTGAAAACTTTGTACCTCCATTCGATTGCATTCTCCACAGATTTAAATGTTTTTGGTCGACTCCTCAGAAAGTTTTGCATGCTGTTCAAGGCATCCATTGCTGTACCTGAAGAATGAACAAAAATGCATTAAATGTATGCATAAATATAAAGCATAGTCACATATAGTCCAACTGCACTGAAATCAATTACAAAACATATACTGTAGCGGTTTCATAATGGTTGGTGAATAGCTTACAGCAATAACTATCCAACTCCACTGATTGAAACTCTTGAGATGTAAATAAAGTAATTTTTCATTGCATGCACTAGTAAATATTTTTTCTCTCAAATCTGTTTGTTGCTTGTGTGTGGAGAATGAAACTAGGTAAACTAAGAATAAGGGGTAAAAACTTACCTTCCACTACATCAATAACACAAAGGCCAAGCAGTGATGGCACGTGATTGGCTGCAGCCGTGTGAACTGCTATTGCTCCACCCATGCTGTGACCAATAATCATGATGGGAGGTGGGTTTTCACCATAAAGTGCCTCCACCGCTTTTCCAACATCCCTGAGAGAAAGTAACATTTCTAAATTAAATGCTGCAAAAACCTGCTTTGTACAGACCTTGGGAGATGAGTGTGTACTCACTTGGCCATTGTTTCAGCAGACAGGTCATCAGGATTCTTTACTTTAGTATCACCTGAATGATATATGTGATTATAAAATCAACAGCTTATGGTTTGTTTTCAGCTAATTAACTAAAACAAAGACGTTTTCTGAAATAAAAGAGTTTGAAATCCCTTACCATGT